CTGCCATATTCCTCCTGACTTCTCCTCAACTTTCGTGCCTTCCTGGATAAAATCGGCTAACAGCTGCGCCTTTATGGCCCTCCTCGGCTCATACAACAGAGAATATTCACTCAACTCGACCGCCCATTTCACCAATCGACTAGAGACCGATGGTCGGCCAAGTGTTTCTCCAGTGGCATGTTCGTTCGCACCTTCACCTTATGGTTCAAGAAATAAGGTCTCAACTTTCGAGCAGTTACGACCACGGCTAAAGCACACTTCTCGATCTTCGAATACCTCATCTCCGCCCCTTTCATCACCCTACTCACGTAATAGATGGGAAATTACGCTACCCCTTCTTCTCGCAACAACAACGAACTCACAGCCCTCTCTCCAAACGAAATGTACAGTACCAACTCCTCTCCCTCTACGGGTTTAGCCAATAAGGGAAGGTTGGCTAGCACCTCTTGCAACTCCTCAAATGCCCTCTACGCCTCCTCCGTCCATTGGAATTTTGCACTCTTCATCAATGTTTTAAACAACGGGCCACTTTTTTTCGCCACCTTCGATATTAAACGACTCAGCCCTGCGATTCGACCAGCCATGATTTGTACCTCTTTAACATTTGTCGGCGACTGCATCTCCATCACCGCCGGCACTTTCTCCAGGTTTACCTCGATACCTCTCTTAGCAACCAAGTAACCTAAGAATTTCCCCGACTTTACTCCGAACAAGCACTTAGCTGGATTCAACTTCATCCCATACCTCCTCAAAGTTAGGAACGTTTCCTTCAAGTCTCGCACATGATCCATCTCTTCTTTGCTTTTCACTAACATATCATCTACATATACCTCCATGTTTCTCCCCAGCTGTTCTTTAAAAATTTTATCGACCAACCTTTGATACGTGGCGCCCGCGTTTTTCAGGCCGAACGACATCACCACATAACAATAGGTTCCCCGATTCGTCACAAAACTCACCCGCTTCCTATCTTCTTTTGCCAAGGGAATTTGGTGGTATCCCTGGGAGGCATCCATCAAGCTCAACTATTCGCACCCAGCCGTCGAGTCGACCAGCTGGTCAATTCTAGGTAATGGGTACAGATCTTTCAGGCACGCTTTGCACTGATCACGAAAGTCGATGCACATTCTCCACTTTCCCTCCGCCTTTGACACCATCACTGTATTTGATAACCATTCTGGGAACTGAATCTCCTTGATATGCCCTGCTTTCAACATCTTCTCGACCTCTTGCTCGATAAATTTATCCATCTCTACCCCATGATGTCTCCTCTTTTGCTTCACCGGCCTCACGCTGAGGTCGATGTTCAGCCGGTGTTCGATCACCTCCGCACTTATTCTCGTCAACTCCTCCATTGTATACGCGAAGATATCCGCGAACTCCCTAACCAGGCCAATCAATCTCGACCTGATGGGCTCCTCCAAGTCCTTCCCAATTCTAAACTTTCTCTTCTCACATCCCTCGATCATCTGAACTTCCTCGACCTCCTCTCCTGGCCGGATATCCACCTTCTCTTTTCCCTTCTCCAACCTCGGCCTATCTTTTTTCGACCTTGACCCACCTGGCCGGTTGACCTCCTCCCCACTTGGCCTAGCCTGCTTCTTCGCTAGCTGTTTGTTGTTGCTCACCGTAGTTTGGTAGCAGCTTCTCGAGGTAAGTTGGTCTCCAGCAATCTCTCCAACGTTTTCGCCCACAGGATATTTGATCGTCATGTGGTACGTGGATACGACCGCCTGGAACGCATTCAAGCTTGTTCTCCCCATTATAATGTTGTAAGACGACTCAGCCCCGATGACCACAAACCTCACCATCCGGACTTTTCTAATCACCCCTGATCCCAGCGCCACGGGTAAGCTGATCTCCCCCATCGGCATAACCTCTCATCCGTTAAAGTCGTATAACGCCGTGGCCACTGGTTTCAACCCATGTTCAGCTCCTTATTGATCTGCACAAAACAATCATAGAACATCACGTCCACCGAACTCCCGGTATCAATGAACACCCTCTTCACATCAAAGCCTGCCACTTCCGCAGTAATCACCAAAGCGTCGTTGTGTGGCAAGACCACTCCCTCAGCATCCTCCGCCTTAAAACTTATCACCGGCATTCGAGCCGTAATCTCCACCTCCTCTCTCTTTCTTTTCACAGCCTGAGCATGCTCCTTCCTGGCATGATTCGAGTGGCCATCCGTCGGCCCTCCAGAGATCATATAAATCATCCCTCTCTTCAACGGGGCTTCTCCTCCTTGACCCCCTTTATCTCCATCCCTCCTCGGCCTCTTTCCTCGACCATCTCTCCCATCTCTATCATCACCCTCCTCATCTCTATCACTTCTCTCCTCAGATTCCTCCCGAAACCTTCTCCTCCCTTTTTTTTTCGCCCTGTCATGATACACAAACTCCTTTAGGTGCCCTGCTCGAATAAACTTTTCAATCTCATCCTTCGAATGTCTACAGTTCTCCATGGTATAGCCGTAATCTCGGTGAAAACGGCAGTAGATATCCGACCTGGGCCTGACCAGGCCGGTAAATCTCGTCTTCGGCCACGTCACATCCTCACTCGACATATTCTGCTCTATAGCCTCGAGCACTTCCGTCAAGTCCTTCCTCAGAGGAGTAAAAGTATGGTACCTCTGTCTTTCGAATGATAAGGGCCTCCCCTGCCACCTGTCAACCCTTCTCGCCAGCTTCGAATCTCGACCTTCTTTCTGGGGCGATGTTTTTTTCGACCCACCCCTTTTGGGCGAACTTCTCCTCGGCGACCTTCCCTTTGGTGGGATTTTCTCCTTCTTTGGCTCTGGTCGAGCCGCCCCTTCCAGCTTTGCAAACTCCATTTCCATCTCGTCCAGATTAATGTATTTTCTGCATCGCTTCAAAACGTCCCCATATGATCGAGCAGGGGTCTTTGCCAGGGAGGTTCGACAAGGCCCTGCTCGAAGACTCCTTATCAATCCTCCTGCTTTCACCTCATCCGACGCCGAGTGCACCTCCAAACATGTTTGATTATATCGAGCCACATACTTCCTCAACGACTCCTTCTCTCCTTGCCTCATCGCCATCAGCGTCAAATATGTCTTATCCTGCGCCACCGCGCTCGAATATTGGTTGGTAAGCTTGCTGGCAAAATCCTCAAAGTCTGCGATCGACCCAGGGGGTAATTGATGAAACCAGTCAAGTGCTCCCCCATGTAAGGTCGATAGAAATGCCCTGCAACATACAGAATCAGAATACCCATATAATACAGCCATGTTCTCAAAGATCCTCACATGCCTCGATGGGTCAGATGACCCATCATACACCAGATTAGTCTCCTTGAAATTATTTGGTAGGGGGGCTGCGAGAATCTCCCTCGAGAACGGATGACCTTGAGCTCTCCTCTCCGGCCTCCCCTCAACCTTGTCCTGCAACTGGCGCAACTGCTCCGCCATCCTCTCCATTGCACGATCTCTTCCACCTCCTCCATCTCCATAACTGGACACATCCTTTTCTTGGCCTCCTACTGCTGTGGTCGGCGCGGTGGTGGTGTGCGAAGTATGGCTCGTGACTTGCTGCACCGCCTGCGCCGCCGCGGCTGCCGCTATCCTTTGCATCTCCTCCCTGGACATCGTCACCATCTGTTGACCAGGAGGTTGTGTAACGGCTTGTTGCGGTGCTCCTCCTTGTGTCGCCACTCCTCCTTGCACCATCACTCCTCCTGGTTGAACCATCTCCGGATTTTGTGACTGTGGCGGTGGCATCGCCGCCGTAGCTGCTGCGCGAGCTTCCTGGGCCCAGCTGGAACCGGCATCTCCTCCGGGAATCACTGTCGTCGTTCCCGCACCTTGAAAGATAGGTGTAGGAGTGATCGGCGTTTGCGATGGGCCAGAAAAACCCGGAGGAGGGCCTTTCCCCAACGGCCTGGTTGTCGTCCAAGCTTCGTCAAATGTCGACTGCAAGTTTTTGGGAATTCCGTCCGCCATAGCTGAGCTTCAAACACAACTTCTGAAACGAAAGTCCCCACAGACGGCGCTAATAATGCAAGTGTGCACGTCCTGGTCCGGTTTGGGGTAGATCGGTTCTTGTCCTCACCGATAGAACGTCAGAAACCTGCAAGTAACTCTCACACCGGGGGTTGTGTCCGGTGAAGAGCCTCCGATGCTTAAGTCAGTATGTGTATGAGTATATTGAAGTGAATAATGGAAAAATCGTGTTAAGGGAAAAAGGCTCACCCTCTTTATATATGGGTGAGATACCTGCCCAAGCTGCCCGTCAGTACTCTGACACGCCGCGCACATGTCAGAGGTGGCGCGGGGCGTTGGGAGCTGTCAGAGGTGGTTATCGCTATCACCCAATATATTCTCGACACGTGTCCTCCTGCACATGGGGTAAATATTCTCCTGGGATTCGGTTGGAGGCTCTTACATGCGCCTGTAACTAGGCCGATCTGTTGAGTGTTGAGTCCGCGAGATGCTCGACCTGCTGAGGTCGATAAGGTTGCTCGATCATTTATTTGGTCGAGCGATGGATTGGCCGACTGATTGACTGGTCGACAAGTCGTCTTGCTCGATCTTCTCATTGCCTGGCTCGATTCCTTCATGGTATGACTCCCCAAACCGGTTCAGCAGACCAGTTTATCTTGGGGTATATAATATCTTATATCATCTCTTCTTCGAGGGCCTGATGTCGATCCGGTCCCAGCTTTTGTCTTTTTTGGACGATGGGTTTGACCGTGGGGTCGACCTGCAGCCTGTGGCATGCGACCTTCGGGTCGATGCCGACCATGTCCTCGTGAGTCCATGCAAAGACGTCGGCGTTGTCCCTAAGGAATTGGATCAGTTCGGCCTTCAGAGGCGCGGGCAATTTGTTCCCAATCCTCAGCTGCTTCTGGCACGTCTCTTCGTCAATGAAGATCACCTCGACTTCGTCCATTGGCTCGGCGCGTTTCGTGCCCCTAACTTCTTCGTACAGGGTTCTGGGATCCAGTTCATCCTCTTCCTTCATCGGTTCCTTCCCGACCCTTCTTCATCGACCGCGGGTCGACTCGATTTCGGGTTCTTCGTTCATCGGGGCGGCATTTTCGTCGGCCGGGAAGGTAAAACTTCTCTGTCGAGCCAGCGCGTGGTCGTGCCCCTGGTCGGGTTGTGTCAGCCCGTCGTTTAGGCTGGATTTGTCTGAGGGGTACGTCTCTTCATCCCCGGCTTCTGCCGCGACTTGCTCATTCTCGACTTCGGCCATCATGGCGACTGTTTTTCCCAGTCCGTCGTCTAGGATCTCGATGGTGTTGATTTCTTCATGGGGAATGGCTAGAATGCACTCCCGAGCTTCCCTTTGATGCCCCCGGTGGACCCTTTCCTCCTCCGAGATGGGGAACTGGATGGAGTAGTGAAAGATCGAAACCGCTGCCCTAAGCTTGTAGAGGGCAGTCCGTCCTAACACGGCGTTGTACTCGCTTTCGCAGTCGACTATCTTGAACACCTCCATGATTGTTCTCGCCGGTTGTCCGTTTCCTCCAAACTTGACCGGCAGAGTGATCTGCCCGAGAGGGAGGGTAGTCGTCCCGTTAAAGCCTTGGATCCGATCGTTACACGGTTGGACTTCCTTAATGTCGATCTTCATTTTTTTGAACGTGCTCAAGTACATGATGCTTGCGTAAGCTCCGGTATCGACCATGATTCGGTGTACCTTGATAGTCGCAATTGGGTCCGTAATGACCAGAGCGTCCGAATGCGGATGGTCGAAGAGAAATGCATCCTCATCACTGAAGGTGATTCGACTTGTCGCGTGCTCGGGTATCGGCCTGTGGCTGGCATGGAGGACTCGCTCCCCGGCGTATTGGGCTCGCCGCGCGTATGCTTTCGTCTGTATCTGGGACGACACGGGGTACCCCGGCTCGTGTTGATTCGTCTGGACGAACGGCTCGGGGTTGTTTCCTTGCTCCGCGGGGATCGTTCCCTTTTCCTGCCCCGAGATGTGCTGGCTTCGCCTTGGTGCACGGGATAAAACATCATGATTTTCTGGTCGACGCCTGGCGGTGGCTTTTTCATTTGACGATGGTCGTCATCGTCCTCATCGCTGTCTATGTTTTGAAAGCGTCCCCGCTTCTTCTCGTCAGGGCGGGTATATTTCTTCACCTGCGGTTCGTCGATCAATTTGAGAAGTGCTGAGAGCAGATTTCTGCATTGGTCTGTGTTATGTCCATGCCCCTTGTGATAGGCGCAATACTTCGATCTGTCGAGCTTGCTCAAGTCTGTATAGATCGGTTTTGCCTCGAGTATCAGTCCTTTACCTTTAATCTCTTCATATAAAGCGGCAGCTCCTACGGTATAAATCCCCTGGTAGCTGTCCTTCAACTCCTCAATCTTTTGTCTTTTCCGTTCGACCCTCTCGGCACTGTCCTTGCTCGTCTTCCCAGGCTTCTCGGCTTTTGACTTCTGCTTTTCGGTTGTTCCGTCTAAACTTGGGATAAACATTGATTCTTCGGCCGAGATATAATTTTGGGCCAGTTTCAAGAATTCCTTATAGGTGGCCGGTTTGTTTTGACAAAGCGACCATTTGAACAGCGTCTTCGGTTTGAGACCGGCTTGGACGGACACTAGTAGATTTTCGGGATGGCATTGCTCCATGTTCTGCACCCGGTCATTGAATCGGGCGAGATAATCCCTCAAACTCTCGCCCTCGCCTTGGACGATGTTGGTGATGGATTCCTTGGGGGCAAGATTGATCTGACATCCGATGAAATGGGACCTGAATGCCAACCTCAGTTGGCTCCAGGTCGAGATGGAATGTGGGTATAAGGAATGATACCAACGTTAGGCTTTCGCCCCCAAGGTTAAAGAAAACATTCTGCATCGCAAGGCATCCGTGGTCCCGTGCAGGTCCATCCACGAAGTGTAGAGGGCGATATGGGAGTCCAGATCGGTACTTCCGTCGTAGAGGCTAATCTGGGGAACCTTGATCTTCTGAGGCACGGGCCCCTGTAGGATGTACGAGGAGAGAGGAGATGCGTGGACCACAATCCGCTGTTCGAGGGGGGGAGAGGATGGCCTCCCATGAGTCTCTGGTCGAGCTTCCAGTTCAGTGATTCTTCTTTTCAGGATTGTAAGTTCGTCGGAGTCGCGCCCGATGGCCTTTCCTCGTTCTATGACCTACCTGAGGTCCCGGTTGATTTACGTTTTCTCCCCCAAGCGCCGGTAGACCGACTTGCGAGCGTTCACCTCCAGGCTTGGCCCCGGCCGACTTTCGTCGGTCTGCTCAGTGGGTGCCGGCCTGGCACCTTTTTGGCGGACGATGAGAGAGCGATGGGGGGACTGGGCGGTAGTTTTTGAGTGCGCCGGCCCCTTACCTCGCTCCTCGGCATCCTTCTGGGGTGTCTTCAGTAGGGTGTTTTGGCTGACTTGGCCGCCGAGGGTTGCGCCTGCGGCATTGCCGCCGGGAGTAGTACCAGCAGCGTGGCCGACGAGCGCTCTTGCGAAGGCGCCCTCCAACACCTTAAGGACATTGGGGTGCTGCATCACTGAGGCGAACGTTGCAGGGGGGACAGGTTCCGGTTGCCGTTGGTGTGGCGTCCCTTCGCTGTCGTGGCGGCGGTTCTGTCCGCCAGATTGTTGAGCAGACTCGTCGTGTCCAGGTGATGTCATTTTTCACGGTGAAGCTGAAAATGAGTGAAGGAAAGGTAGTGGAGTTCACAAGCGAAAATTCGACACCTAACAACTTATGGTGTCCTTCCTCTAGCGCCAAACTGTTGACGGATGTTTCCGATCAACGGTTAATTAAGTTTTCGGATGAGATTATTTGAAAGAAAATAAGATGAAGGAAATAAATTTTTATTAATGTGGTTTAGCTCGTTATACGACAGTTGTAGTCGGCACTTTGCTGCGACAAGAGAAACTATTACAAGCTTTTAGAGAGAGAAAATATGCTATTGCTTATAGAATTAAGTGAGTTCAACTAACTCCTCAAGGTGACATAAATGAGCAATTTATATTACTCTCAGCTGGGTACTGTTGGGACACTGTTCATGTCGTCTCGTAGTACAGTAGAATGGAATGACAGACAGTGTCAAGCATTTAATGCAGTCAGTAGATTGGCCATGATGATCCCTGCAGCATTAAATGCCAGCATGGGGTGCATTAAATGCTGCCAGACCTAGGCATAGGTTCTTGCTTCTTTTGGGTAACTGGCTCTTACGAAAGGTCCCATCGATGTATCATTGTCTGAAGCCCGTCATAACCTCGCTGACCGACCTCCAACGGCGACATCTTCCTACCCGGCCTCCCAGTCTTCTGCAGTTCGGCACTTGACGTCAGTTGATCTTCCTACCCTCGGGGCCACTTTTCGAAGTCGGTACCTCACCAGCTCGGCACTACGTCCCAAGGCGCCGGGGTTCCTACTCGTCCTTTGGGCCGTCCTTGTGCTCGCCACCTTTAAATTATCTAGTCTGGCGTCGAGTAGAGGTTGGGTCCTTGGCCGGCCTGCCCCTATTTTCTCCTAACCGGGCGAACGAGTAAGACGGTCAACTCGGATATCAACAGGCATTGATCACAAATTTTTATAAGAGTATCCTTTCTAGTTTCACTTAAAATTTGTTTTGCCAACTTGAAAATTTTGAACACACACACTGTTTGACAAAATTGAAAGTATCTTTTTTTGCTTTACCAATACCAAGTGTGAGACCCAAATACTTAGCAGATTTCACAATTCCAGTGCCAAAAAAAGATTGACAGGCATAATTTCTGATACTCATGAGAGTATTATAAGAGAAAAATATACTAGACTTCGACATATTCACTGCCTGCCCATAAGCAGTCGCAAATAATTAGGTGTGCCCTGGCACACCTTGCTAGGTGTGCCAGGGCCGAGAGT